TCATCGCTCTTTTTGGTTTCTTGTCAGCCCCTCTATTGAAAACCGTCACAATGGGTGATTACGAACGATTCCAGCAAGGTCTTTACCTTTCCCCAAATCAGCAAGATCTCCTGCTTGCCGCTCTATCTTCCAACAACCCTAGTCAAAAGCCTCAAAGTGGCTCTCCCCCGCTCAAGTCATCTCAGAGCCCCGATGAACATTCCTCGAACGGTCTCAGCGCCCCTCCCTCGGGCGGGTTTGATAATTCCCATGCCAATAATTTCGGATTTGGGGATGACGAAAGCCCTTTCTTGGATTTCACCCCGGACGTTGACTTCGATTTCCCCGGTTCTGCTGACTTGATTGGGGACCTACCGGGATCGGCCGACTACGATATCGGCGGGAAGCGAAAGTCCCTCGACGGAAAGTCGGACATTGAAGGGGAAGAGACCGGAAAGAAACGTAGGGAAAGCGAGGCTAAGAAGCCCGGTAGGAAGCCACTGACTTCAGAGCCTACTACGGTACGCCACTCTTGCTGCACGCGGAAGTTGCTGGGACTAGAGTCGTGAACTGACGTGATTGAGCAGAAGCGCAAGGCCCAAAACCGAGCCGCCCAGCGAGCCTTCCGCGAACGCAAGGAGAAGCACTTGAAGGATCTGGAGGATTCGGTGGAAAGGTTGCAGAAGACATCGGACATGACAAACCAGGAGAATGGTTTGCTGCGTGCCCAGGTCGAGCGGTTGCAGGTCGAGCTCCGTGAGTACCGAAAGCGCCTTTCCTGGATGGCCTCAGGATCAGGAAACGCCATGTCGGCTATGAGCTCGAATTCCATTCCGAGTGCTCATTCTAAGGGAGCCTATGGCCTCCAAAACAATGACTTTCTCTTCGATTTCCCCAAGTTCGGCGATTTGCCTGGTGGTCATCTCTTCAATGGACAGGCCAACAAGAATGACCAATCCAAATCCAATGTCAACACCCCTCAGGCACCTGGTGTCTTGGGTCGTGACAGTCTGAACGGTCCTTTGTCTCGATCGAACTCTCTTACCCCGTCGAATAAATCGAAGTCTCATGGAACTGTTCACAGCGCTACTTCCGCTAAAGCACCCTACTCTGGCTTCAAGTCTTCCGGAAATGATACCTCTACTTCGGAGAATTCTCCGTCGTCTTCGTCCGACTCGCACCAGAGCCAGATGCTGTCCTCAAACGGGACTTCCCCAGAACCAAGTCTGAACTCTCCTACAGATGGGCAGTACCGCGAGTTGGGACCAGGTGATTCGTGCGGCGGGCATGTTACCACCGATGGCGAGAAATCTTTCTGTGCACAGCTTGGTATGGCTTGCGGGAACATCAGAAATCCCATTCCAGCGGTCCGGGATAACAGCAGATCCAAATCCCGAAGTGTTTCAAGCAGCCAGCCCACCCCAATTGATGGCTCAGCCGGGGGCGAAGATCCTCCGGATCTTGGAATTGATTGGTTGGCTCATCAAAATGGCGGCCAGTTTGACCCAGTGCTCTTTGGTGACTGGCGAGAGCCCCAAGATGCAGTGCTGTCTCAGGACTTCGGTTCTTTCTTCAATGAAGCATTCCCTCTACCGGACCTGGGTAGTCCCTCTCACAACTTGTCCGAGGTCGCCACTGACGCGACCCAACCCAAGAAGAGTCTCCTTGCCCAGATTGATAGCAGGCTCGAGGAAGATGAGGTCGTTCCAGGCGAAGACCAGTCGCAGATGCTGTCGTGCACGAAGATCTGGTATGTTCCTGCTCATCTCCATGTTCATCGATTAATTTTCCTTCGCCTTACTGACTTTGTTCTTTTTTTCTTTAGGGATCGTCTTCAATCCATGGAAAAATTCCGCAACGGCGAGATCGATGTTGACAATCTCTGCTCCGAGCTTCGCACCAAAGCTCGATGCTCTGAGGGTGGTGTAGTCGTGAACCAGAATGACGTTGACGACATTATGGGACGAGCCAAGTAGCGGCTTGCTTCCAGAAGGCTCACCATCACCACCGCCCTCAGCACAACTCATACTCGGGCTTAATTCACGATTCACGGACCAACACCAACTCATTGATACTCGCGTTCTTTTGATTTCTACGCATACCCATCATCGATTGTCATTTATGGGAGGAATCCTACTCGGCGTCATGAATACAACACAGGATAAAAGAGGGAAATTCATGGGAGGGGAGAAATAACATCCAATTCAACGGATATTTGATTTTGAGCACAAATCTTTTTTGTCAATGCCCATAGTTGGGCAATCTATCAATGTCCCATCTTAAGGGGACAACACATTCCTTTTTTTACTTCCTCGCCCACATTTGCCTATTTATCCTCCCTTCTTTTTGCAACAGTAATTGCCTTTTGATTGTTTCATTTTTGTTTTGATCGACATCGTTCAGCTTGTTGAAACGGGGGACCACCGTCTCACACTGGTCATGAGATTTAAGCAAATACGGGATGGCACTTCCAATGCCTATTGTACGGAAAGGGACTATGGCGAACTTGATATACTATTTTACTTTCCTTTGCAGCTAGGACAGGATAACTCTGCTTTGCGATGTTCAATGTACTTTTCTTTTTGTACACAATCTATTCCTGAATGGTTCTCTACTTAGTTTCATCGACTTATTTCTACCAGTCCAGATGCTTTTGTACGCGAGAGAATGAGTATGAAGTAGCAATCTCGTAGATCTACAGACTTTAAAAGCAGAGCTATAAGGGTATCGATGTGGTCCACGGGCATAAAACTAAAGTACAAAGAGAAAAGAGGTGAAAGGGTGTATTCTTTTTTTTTTTTTTTTCTTGCTTTTTTTCCCCCAATGTTTTCTGCATCCACTCCTCCCTCTGCAAACGAAAAAAGAACACTGTCTGGAGCTCACCGACGCTGCAATTCGCATTCATGCTCTGTGCCTCCGACCAGACTTGAGAACAAAGAACATAGATATTGAGCGCTATCAGAGTCAAAAAAGACAAAAAAGAAGATTTGCAAATGGGACGAGATAAAAAAAAAGACACAAAAGAATTAGAGTATCAAAGAGGTGTCAAATCGAGGTAATGTCGATGGCCGGGAGAAAAATATGAGACAGAGAAATTTCCGTGTTACCGATCAGGCGTCACCGGATGCGACAGGCTTGTCACCTGAGGGAGCAGGAGAGTCATTGGGGCCACTCTTGAAGCCGCCCCGAGCTCCGCCACGACCACCACGGCCTCGCTCGCCACTGCCACGGCCGCCGCGGCCACGACCACCGAATCCACCACGGCGACTGCCATCGCTGTCACTGGCGCTTTGGTAACCACGCTGAGCGGTAGTAATGCCACCCCGGGTGCTGGACTGCCAGGTTCCAGCATTGCCGACAGCAGCACGGGTGCTGCGATCCTCGAAGAACTTGAAGTTGGGCTTACGTTGCTGACCATGGGGAGTGGGTCCGGGCTTCTTCAGCTCAATAGGCAGGTGGTCCAAAGCCGCCTTAGCCTCTTCGGCGCCCGAGAAAGTCACAACGTGGTTGTACTTGCCGAGCTTTTCGATCTTGGTGATCTTCGATCTGTCCTCCTCAGAGATGAGGTCACGGACAGCCTGTTCACTTTCGGCGCTTGTTACGAAAAGAGCATTTGTAGGCTTCTTTTCGCCCCGGGGTGCAGGTGATTCACTTGGCTTTTCTTGCGGGGCGGTTCCGTTAGTTTCGGCAGCTGCGGTCTTCTCCTCCCCGGCGGGCTGAGCAGACGCAGCAGCAGGTGGCTGTGGGCTGATGGACTTGGGAATCACGGGAACAGGAGAGGCTCTCGGTCCCTTCTGACCCTGAGGAATGGGTGCACGTGTAGGAGGGGCTTGGCCGAACTGGGGAGCGACGACGGGGGCCCGGGCAGCGCCTGTCGGGGCGGGAGAGGCAGTCGTCGCTGGGAGACCGCTGGATACAGGTTGAGGAGCACCACCTGCCTGGGGCTTGCCAGTGCGGTGGGCGAAGTTGAATCCTTGAGCCCGCATCTCTGTCGCGATGCGTCCACCTTCAACCTCCAGTACGAGATATCCGAACGCGGCATCCGCCAAGTTGAAATTCCACATGTTCTTGAATGCACTCTCATCGACTTGTCCAGCAGCATTACCAGCGGCAACGGGACCACCGAATGGATTACCGCCATTGGCAATGGAAGGCATCTTGTGAACAACATCCAGGGCATTCTCTAGGAGAGTCTTCTGTCCATCATTAGAGGAGATAGCTGCCTCAACCTCGGTTTTGACCGTCTCCCAGACATCATTGAATGACGCCTTGGAGGCAGCAAGCTTGCCACGATAGTGGTCCAAGGACGGGTTCACGGAGAACTCATTGTAAGAAGAACCGTAGCGGAAATGAAGACCAGCTGAAATGGAAAAATCGGCCTTGAGCGTAACAGACAACTGGTTCAGCATGCCCTCACGGGCAGGGGAGGCGTGGGTGACAAAGACACGAGTCTCGGAGGGGTCGTAGACACGATTGGCGGTGTCAATGAGTTCGCCCATCTGCAAAAGTGTTGTCCACATGGTTCCTTGGCCGCCGGCAATAGTCGTCTTTCCTTCACCATTGTCGAAAAGCTTATGCATCACGACAGCACCTCCCAGACCCAGCAGACGGAGCTTCACACCGCCGATATCGAGAAGGCGCGAGTTGGCCTCGTCGATAATGTGAAGTTTATCTACCTTGTACTCACCCGAGCGGAATTTCTCCAATACGCGCACGTCTTCGCAAGCACCCCAAACTGTGTAGACCGGGACATCAAGGGTGATGCGTTTGTCGAGAAGCATGGAGAGCTCGGAGAGGGGCAGTTGCTCGGGTGGGAAGCGCTGCTTAATTGACTGCTGGGGAGATACCTGTGCGATGGACCTTTTCACGTTCTCGGGGAGGAGGGGGGGAATATTGTGCCACATGCTTCAATGTCCTATTCGTAGATCCAGGGTTAGCTGATGCTGTCCGGTATATTTCGATGCCTGGTGAGGCGAATGTGTTGGGCAGCAAACACGCGCCGAAAAGCTTGGGAAGAATACTCACTTGTCCGCAATACGCTCAAGGGAAGTGTCATCGTAGAAACCAAAGTCACCGGTGTGAATGATGTGGTCGGCGCGGGCCTGCTTCGCAAGCTCGTTAAGAGACTTCAAGTTGCCTATTTTACGGGTCCAATTAATATTGTGTCACTTTTTGCCAAGGAAGATATTGCCAGAAAGTAATTACCTCGGACATCTGCAATGCACAGGATTCGTGTCGGACCGCTCTGAATCACACGGCCATTGTTGGGGAGAAGCGGCGTGGCACCGGGGACAGGGCCCGCAGCCGCACCATTGGGAATAGGGTAGCCTTGAGCACCGAAGTTGGGGCGGGGCTATAAATGAAAAGGAGGTGATTATATTAGCCAAGCTGTCCAAGTTTTCAAGATGTGGCATTCATCCCGCGCAGTTAGAAGCTGGGGTGCGCAAATGCGAGGGGAGAGGTAAGGTTAGGGAGCAACCTACAGAAGCCATGGAGTTTTTCAATTAAATCGATATGGATGGGAGGATATGGAGTGTGTGATCAAGATGAAGGAGGAGAGAAAGAAGAGGAAGGAAGGAAGGAAAAGGATGAAGGTGGGTGTCGAGGGGAAAAGATGTCGAAGATTCACTTTCTCATCGATGAAGCAGCAGGCGTGACATGAAGATTAGGTAAGCCACCCCTGGGCGGGCCGATAGGGATGCAGAGTACAAACAACACTCTTTATTTATATCCAAGCATAGGGCCTTTGCACTAAATTGATTGAAACTAACGGATTTGAACTCTTTTAATTATTTTGAATACATTTCATTACTCTTACCTGCTAATGGGATAGGGTGTTTCTCTCCCGCTTACTGGCCCGAGTTAGAGTACAATCCCGCTGAGCTTGTTATAGTCTGATATTGGAAGTGAGACAGAGTCTCCTTGCCCAATCATCTGGGGCTAATGTTTTCATATGATCTGTAGAAAACAAAATAATAGAGCTTAATTTCCATCTTAAGGTGTCTCGACTATCAGATATGAAGCTATCCTACTCTATTGCGTAGATGCCTGACTAGTGACACCGTGTATCAAAGTTCTTCGACATGGTTCCCAACGAGATATTGCTGTCTATCCAACATCTGTATGACAGGATTTGAAACTTCTCCATGCTGACATGATAAAGATTGGATGGATCGAGGGCCCTTCAATGCCAACAACGCAAAATGACCACCAACAGTCGGACGGGCCCGACACAAGATAGGAACTCCCGGATCATTTCCGTGCGCAGAAGTTGCAACATACCGATCAGAGAAAGGCCAGGTGTGTTTTCCGTTGGTCATGAATGACCACAAGTCATCGACAAACTCATCCCTGGTGCTCGTCTCAAAGGTGCCAGCTAGCCACATATTCCAATCTGATTTGGCCCAGTCTTGTCGATTATCGAGAGGGACCCCATATTCACCGCGAACTGATGTGAAAAATCTACTTCCCATTTGATAGGCAGCGTTGGAGAATGTTTCAAGACCCAGCAATGCATCAGGGAAGAGATTGTATGGGGTCTTCCAGGTATCTGGCCAGTCAGGATATTCCAGAACGAAATGTGTCTGATCTTTGTCTGTTCCCAGGCCTTGCTGGAAGAAGATATTTGCATGCTCCTCACCGACGCGGGAATAGAACCCATCCCCACTCATCTCCCCAAACGCCTTGAGACCAACTGCGGCCTTGATTGCCAGATTTGTCTCGTTGGCGAGGGGTCCAGCTGCATCATTCGACGACAGCTGATTGGTAATATCAACACTATTTTCCACCAAGTAATCTGCATACTTCTGGAAAACCTCCATGTACTGCGATGTCCAATCGGTATCACCAGTGGCTCGAACATATGCGGCAGCTAAGATAAGCAGATTTCCACACTCCTCAATCGGCATTGGCTCTGCTTCCTGGTCATCATGACCAATGGCATGGGGATAATGAGCGCCAAGGTCATGGATCATGTATGGCAAATGCCAGCGACCAGCAGCAAGGTACTTCATCACGGGTTCCAGCAACAGTCGGATATAATCCGGATCCATGACGTAATAAATTGGGAATGCAGGCATGATCACATCAATTGTGTTGATATTTCCGTCACTAGAAAGCTCCTTGATAAAAGCCAAAACCTCGCCCGTGTCAAGAGAGTCATTGGGAATAGCCAAGTCGATGCCCCCGTACGCTTGTCGGGTCGAAAGAGCTAGGATATCTGCGTACTTGGGGCCCGCTGTGGCGGTCGATAAGGTGGCCAGCTCCCGATCCAGCTCTAAGGACTCTATCAATGCGCTTCTGTAGTCATCTAAGAAGAATGAGAGGGCACTTGATGTGTTCGGGTACTCTGCGCGATAGAAACCCGTGTACGCTTCTCCCAGATAGTTGATGGCGGCTTCCCTCTCGTATCCGACCACGAAGTTCACAGAAAGCCCACCAGTTACTTTGCCAAGATTGTGAGCCAGTGCGATAACACTTCTCTCGCGCCAGATATTATCCTCGCCGGATAGCTCACCGTCCTTCACGAATAGACCTCGTACGTCCACGGGGTTTCCCGAGAGGGCGGACAATTGACTGAAGTTAGAAGGTCGAGAGGCGAGGATTGCTGAACCCCAAAGAGCCATGTCGTCTGCCTCGGCATACAGCGGCGCGTCTTCCACTGCCAGCGAGTAAAAGACTAGACCGTCCTTTTCTCCAAAGTCGCGCCGTGAGCGGTTTTCTCGGCCAGTCCACCTGGCATCTATGTCTGAATACACCTGGATATCATGACCGTGTGCTTCAGATACATGCACTGTCAAATAACCTATTTATTGTCAGTAAACCCAACGAATACATCATCTACTATGCTCTGCATAACCCACTAAAAGGAAGCGACTGTCGAACATAGTTTGACGGCGACACAGGCGACAAGAAATCCAGTGTGACTGCCACGGCACCAGCTGTGAGATTAAATATTGAGTGCGTTGCAGTGAACTCAGCACGACGCACCGTCGCAGGGCGGATATTGCTGGCGTCCGGGTCTGGCACCCCCATCAAACTATATGCCTGACCATCCACACGAACAATCACGGACCAGCCGAGCTCCTGACCAGCCCAGAATTGGGGTTCGGCAGAGGGTAGCTGCTGTACTCGGTCGCTGGGCATCCATGCTGACAGATATGGGTTGCGCACTGCTAGCGGGTAGGATGGTGGGAGGACAGGGTGATGTGTTACAGAACTGGACTCCTGGTCAGAGTAAAAAGAGAGCACTAATGCGTAGAGGGAGCCCAGTCCCAATGAGTTTAGATTAAATCGCATGTTGACATTTGTGAGGCCATCCGTGCACGTGTTGGATGTTGAAGTGTGTGATCAAACACGCCGGGCATATATATTGTAGATGGAAATATAAACAGCTTAGCGGATGCCAGTCTATCACCCTGATCAATATTCAAGGGAAGTATACTATTGAAGTCAAGAAGCATGTATATCGTAAATCGTAAATCGTAACAAATCCCATGCCGATCTTCCTGCGTCATATGGGGGAAACCCCACAGTACTTACGTATCACCCATGGATTGACTAACTATAAATAAATTGTTTTACATAGTTAGTGAACCATACATCATAGCTCTAGGTTCAGGTCCATTTATCTTGCGCAAGACTGTGGCTGAATGGCGTCAATCCTTAAGCCGATGCTTGGTAGAAGAAGAAAAGATTTTGGTATCCACATATTGAACTATAGAACATCATAAAATTCATCTAATTTCATTTCTATATGTCTACAACTGGGCCTTCTCAATCCGTCGCCCAATCTCATCGAAATGAATCTGCTTCCCGGATACCAGTGCCTCCTGAAGGTACGAACCAATTTCAACAGCCTTGACAGCATTGCTCAACTTCATAGGAAGCGGGGTGTTGTCCAAGCAGGCCGCGGTGAAGTCATTAGCCTCCTGGACAAAGGCAGGGCTGAATCGACCCATGAAATTGTGAGGAATTTCACGAGTAATGCCACCGTTGTGGTATAAGTTGACAAAGTTCCGCTGGGGGTTGCCATTCACTGTCAACTTGCCCTCGGTACCAATGATCTCAGTGGTATCCTCCTGGCCGGCGGCCATCATGCGCGAGCAGTAATAGTAAGCAATCTTGCCATTCCAGAACTCCACAATGCCCACAGCATTATCGTAGTCGTTGTACTTCTTCAGCTCTGGTTGGACTGCGGTGATACCGTGGGCAGAGATGCTCTTGGGAAGGACTTCATCCCCAAAGAACCACAGACTGAGATCAATGTCGTGTACAGACATGTCGACAAACACGCCGCCGGACCAGGCTGCATATTCAACATAGAAGCCCGAGGGATCAAACTTGTCACAGGTCTGGCTGCGGATAATGGCAGGCCGTCCGATGAGACCTTGTTCCATCTTGGCGTGGGCATCACGGTACGAATCGTCGAAGCGTCTGGAGAATCCACACATCACCTTCAGATGGGGCTTCTTCTTAGCAGCCTGGACCACTGCCCTGCACTTTAGAGGGAGATTCATCAGCATTCGTCATAATTCCAAGCAGGGAGAAACTCATACCACTTCAACATCGGTAGACAAGGGCTTCTCGCAGAGTACGTGCAAGTCTTGCTCGATAGCCTTGATTGTCTCCTCCGCGTGTACCGAGGTAGCCGTACCAATAGCAACAGCCTGCAGACCAGGATGCTTGAGCATCTCATCGTAGTTGGTGTACAGAGTCACACCATGAGGCTCCAAGTTCACCCTTCCCCATGTGATTTCAGCAGGGTCTGGGGTGAATGCCGCAACAAGCTGTGCACGGGGTGTCTTCTGGAGGAAGTTGATAGCATGGAGCTTGCCAACTCGACCAAGACCGGCCAAGCCAACTTGTAATTTCTGAACTGCCATGGTTTTGGAGGGATTGAATAGGAGAGCCGGGAATAATTGATGTCTTTCTGAACCCTCAGTTTCCTGGGTCTTCGAAGGGGTTTAAATAGTTTACAAAGAAGCTGTCCCATCTGCATCTTGATCAGTATATTGCTTTTGGTTTTAACTCAAGGTAAAAGTCCCCGTTGTAAGGTGTAAGGTGGACGGAAAGAATTGCTAAATGCAATGAAAGGGGAAGGTTACTTAGGTTGGGTTGGGTTTCCCCGCATTTGTTCCCCAGTTACACGATTAACGTACTTATGTAATTATTTTGATGTGCTTTTACTTGGGTGTGTAATGCCAAGTAATTTTACTTTCCAGATATTTCATTTATATGATATATGTGGGTCATGCATACTGCCCCGTGGGGGAACGGAAAGAATTTCCTCCTTGCAAATCTCCGTGGGAAGCTACATGTCTCCAAGAAGAAATCGCCTAGTGGCAGGCTGGTGGGTTAGCCAGTATTCAACTTGAAATATTATGAACATCTTTGCTAATTGACTTGCGCAGCCAACGATGTCGTGGTAAGTCACCGTGGGGTAGGGATCGACGTACAGGGCAAGTTGCTGAACTCCAGGCAATTGCACAGTCCGACACCTTAAATGTAAGAATTGCCGCCAAAAAAGCAATGGGCTAGATAGGCTAGACTGACAAGCATTTAGGTGATATTAGTAACCTGGGTTGCGAACATTGTCAACAAGCTGGTGTGGATTGTGACAGGACTAATATCCGGTTTCGCAATGGCCTCTCATTACCCAAAGAGGCTGAGCTTGCCTTTTCGGAGAGCTGTTGGCCCCAACTGCGTGGCAAAGGTAGGGGATCTGATCATTTTCGATTGTCTAAATCTAACCATGCGTTCCAGTGCGCTTCCATGACGAAACACCCGAGATCGCTAGCCAGTACTCGACTATTCAGGATAGCCAGTCGGCTTTTACCAATGATTCCAGTTGCAGGTTAGTATTCGGGCTGAGAGAAGAGCTTGATAACCCCAGTGGTCCACCGGCACAGCAACCATATCCAAGTAATGGAGTCGATGAAGTCGATGCCTTGGTCCAATTCCCAGCTTCTACTACAGAAAGCGTGTCACCCTCTTTCTCTTCTCCAAGATCAATCCAATCAATCCAATCAATAAATTCCTCTAAGCCTTTGCAACCGCTAAGCGAAAGGGAAGCTATATTATTGAGGAATTTCGTCGAGAATATGGCACTCTGGGTGCGTTATGATCGATGACATACCCGTCTACAGTCACTAATTAGAACAGGCTGATATCACCGACCCTCAACGACATTTTGAAACAGAGGTTTCAGCTCGGGCATTGAAGGAGCCTGTCTTGCGCTATTCAATTTTCGCATTTTCCTCGCGCCATCTTGACCGACAGGACAACAGCGATGTGACAGAGGCACTGCAGTACCACAATCGCTGTGTGCAACTGCTTATTCCAGCGCTCTCTGGGGCTCGTGAGCACATCACCGAGGACATACTAGCTGCAGTCGCTATACTCCGTCAACATGAGGAAATGGATGGTCAGTCATCGATGCGGACAAGTATCATGCGTCAAATAAATGCTCACACAGTCCAGGGGAGGACAATCAATTCCATCTCACTGGCACCACTCATATCCTGAATACAGTATCAACCTTTGGCTCTTCAGGTGGCTTGGGTGAAGCTGCTGCTTGGCTTTGTCTACGGCAGGATATCTATATCTCGCTCACTAGCCAACGGCCTCTGCGGACCAACCTACAAAGCTTCTACCAGTCAGATGTGTTTCAAAGAAATGACGACTTTGCATGGTCAAGCAGAATGGTCTTCCTCCTTGCTAATATTCTCCAGGATGCTTTCACGGACTCCACTATAATACATGGGACAGACCAGATCGAAGAGTGGTATTCCACTAAACCGCATACCTTCGACCCAGTCAGATCAACCCCACAAGGCCCCGGGGCCGATCAACGCCTCCCTACCATGTGGATGCTGCTACCCGTGCATGGTGAGTGGTCCCCATCACATGTGTAGCAGAGTCAAGGCTGACATGGGCTCTCAAATTCTTGGCAGTTATTGGAATTCAATATTACCATATTGCCAAGATTGTTTTGGCGCTTTCCGAGTCCTCACGGGCATCTTCCACCTATGAGAGTTTGCGACATTCTCGAACAGTGGAGGTTTGTTTGAACACCAACATCCTTCTTAGTCGGTGCTCACAATGGATTTAGAAGAATGTACGCCACCATCTGCTCACGGTCCTCGGATTGGCACATTCCAACGCGAAGGCCGAGAACACGCTATTTACTGCACGTCACAGTCTAGTCGCCTGTGAGTTCCCAATGTTGGTTTTTTGAGTATTGAAACTGACTTGGCAGGGGGATGGGTCCTTCGGAATCCCCTCGACCAAAGGGCTGCGGAATCAGTATTACAATCCATGCATGCAAGGACTGGTTGGAATATGAACTCGCTCATCCAAACATTGCGCGCACAGTGGCAAGAGGTGGACGAGAATATGAATTTTACAATATGAATTAGTCAAGGTGAAAGAGAAACAATCAGGATAATTGAGCCGACAGAGAATCTATTCCGCAAAAATACCCGATTTTCATGAGAATGTCCCAGGCTCCAAAACTGCCCAGGTGGGTATACCAAAGGGGCGTGTCAAGGGGAAGATCTCAATCTCAGGGGGACTATCGTTGTACGTAGTCGCACCCCACCCCTTTCTCCAGTGAAGTCATTTAAGTCACCATGACACCTCGTTCTGACTAGTGAAACTTATATTATTTTTCTCATATTCTTCACTTCAAAAAGTCCGTTTTCAAAAAGAAACCAAAAAGCATACACCGAATCTGCGCATTACCCCAAGTTCACTGTCTCACCCCCGCAAATTCAACCTCACGCTAGTGAAAGCGGACCCGCCTGCATTGGCCCTCGGGACATTTACAGTCGACGCGCGTGACAGGACTTGCTTTTGCCCTCGAATCTTCCTCTCAAAAAAATATGAACGCAATTCTCGGGCTATTCCTCGGGCTGGTCCCAGGATGTCTAAAATTCAGTTTCGATTTCAGTTTCGACTTCTCAGATTCCGAATCGGGACATTACTATATACCCATCATGCAAAGTTCATTTTTCCCCGAAACCAAAGAGCACAAAAACACACCAATTCCACCTTCAAGCGCACCCCCGCCTGCTTACAATGATGTGTGCGGCGGTCCCGTTATCATAAACCAAGATGGTGAACCTCAATTCCTATCACCAGAGGAAGAGGTAGAGCGACAACATCGACTACAGCAAGCCGTGCACGAGAAGATGTTAGGGTTACCACGAACGACAAAGTTTGAATGGTACCAGCGAAAATCAGGGATATCAGGAATGTTGGGAACTACCGGAATCGAGAGCGAGGAACTACCACTACCGCTGTATACACCCTGAGAAGATGAGAGAAGAAATGATGTCATATCAAGTGTATTGGTAGAGCCTTGGGTGTTCCCTCCTTGTGCATTGGTTGAGCCTGGACAAGGGAGCAAGGTCCAAACCGCAGTACACTCTATAAAAGACTGCAGGAAGGGAGTTTTGTATGATAATGCACCGAGGGGTTCGCCCTTTTTAATTTTATGGCCGGTATCCACTATTTTTGTACAATGCGTATGTGTAGATGTATACAAGTCTAGTTCCGGAACAGTCTCAAGCCACCTTCCTCCCGATCAACATCATCCTCTTCATCACTGTCACCCTCATCACCTTCACCGAGCAAACCACTGGCCGTTTTACCGAGCAGAGAAGCAAAGAACTCATCTCGTGCGCGCGTGGACCAGGAACCACGGTCCTCGGGGGCCATGAAATTTTGAAGTTTTTCATGCACATTGTACTTCATCTTGCGGCCCTTGGAAGCACGGGTATCAATGTCTCGCTTGACCTTATCGTTGCGCATACCAGTGATCGGGTGAATGGGCAGGCGTGAGGGAAGCTGGTGCAGGTTGTCCAAGCCACTGGTCATGGAATCGGCCGAGGACATGCGCTGCTCAACGAGATCGCGCAAAAGGGACTGGTAGAAAGCTCCGTCATCGTAAAGAGGTTCTTTTTGGTCGGTGCGCGAACGCTTGTTGGATCGTTCTCCGATCTCTGTGGCGACCTGAGCATCGAGAACGGCTGTGATGGTCTGTTGGCGACCGGAGGTAGAGCCGAGCAGTTTGCCCCTGGCATTGGGGAGAGATGCAGAAGTGCCACGAACTTTCGAGGACCACTTGTCGAGAACGGAACGACGGTGGGAAATGGACTCGGACTCCAATTCAGCCATGCGTTCCCATAGCGAGGCGGAGCTGGTGGTAGGCGAGGCGGGGGAGGGTCGCTTGCGCTTTTTGCTGCCTTCTTTGGCGGTAGCATCGGCCAAGGCAGTACGTAAACCTTCGAGAGTCGACCATAATGCCAGCGCAGCTGACTCTGCCGACTTGATTGCCTCCTCATCAACAACTTCCTCTTCGTCATTCATCGCGTCCTCTCCATCGGCTTCGTTCTTCGAACCGAAGACAGCAGCAATACCGTTGATAGATGTCAATCCACTCTGGAGCTTCATCCGCGCGTTAAGGAGCGCATCAAAAGTGGTACGTTGTTGCTTGACAGCCTTTCCCTTTGTAGCATCGGCCTTGGCTGCGGAGGAGATTGTCGCAGCGATCGTTTTCTGATCCGTCGCCATTAGTTTCCGGAGCTCGTCGCGGTCACCGGATGGTGCGCTTGTGTCGCCATGTCGGACATCTTGGCGAGTCTTCTTGGAGTGCTTGTGCACTACCTCGTCGGCATCTTCGCTCTCATCCTCATCATCTTCTTCGCTCTCTTCATCGTCATCGTCCTCGCCTCCCTCTGTGTCCTCATCGGAACTCTCCTGGGCCAGAGCATCGTCGTCGCTGGCAAATTCTTCAGAGCCGGACGAGAGGTCTGAGTCCTCGTCATCCTCATCGCTCTCAGCGCCTAGCGCTGCCCGGCTGACCCGGGCACCATCATATTGTTTCCCCAGGGGGAGGGGGTCATCTTTGCGGAGCTTTGCTTTCCTGTTTGATTATTAGCGAGTTATTGATACCAAATACACCTATTTTTACACACCCAACAGCCTGATAATGCTCTCTGCCTGTATTCACGTCTTCGTTATCTTCACCTTCATCGTCGCTTGATTGTTGACCATTATCGATATCCTCGGGATCGAAATCTAAGCGCGAAGTAAGCATTGAATGTCCGGTACCCAAGACAGTCTGTAGATGCATCATTCAGGCATACCTTTAGGAGTGGGGTCTTCAAAATCAGCAAGCTGATCAGCTAGGGAACGAGCTGCGCGTGGTTTGCCCATGGTGTTTGGTATGGAGAGAGAAGAGGCTGACGAGCAACTTTTTTTTTGTGGTTTTTCCGGATAACGGATTATTACTCCTATCTAGGTTTAGCGTCCGTGAGCGGTAAAAGTTCACGTGGGCGGTATACGGAGTGGGAGCTTCAACCACGAAAGGCGGTCGGCTCTTTTATTGGCAGTATCGCGGTGGATATCTTGCGCTGCATCCTCTGGAACTACTTCTGTTGCTCACAGATTATTTGGTCTTACATTCTTCCTTCTCATCTGCCTCTTTTGGCCTGTAAGGATGTTGTGTGCTCCATCCGGTGCCATTGCCAGGGGCACAAGACTTTTTTCCACCTGTCGAGCTCTTCAGCATGACAATCCTTTGGTTAGTGATTGATCTACATTTTGGAGCTCCGGTGATTGCATCTCTCACTGATTGATTCCAAGAACCATTTTTATTGCTAAAGTTACTATCGTTATTTGCATTGACTAACTATGAATAGGGACTTCCACGCTCTGGTACCCCGCCAACTTTCCGTTCGCGCCGAGGGCTGCCCGAAAAGCGCAAGATTCGAGATGTCAAGAAAGTTGTTGCAGTCTCTTCAGCAAAAGGAGGAGTTGGAAAGTCTACAATAGCAGGTGTGTTGATATTCTTCATTCCTATATATATTTCAAACCAGTAGCGACAGCGCAAGAGCTGTGAACTCAAGTGGAACAAACAATCACTAATGAGGTCTTACCAGTCAACCTCGCACTATCATTTGCACGCCGCGGTATCAAGACTGGAATTCTTGACACTGATATCTTCGGTCCTTCCATCCCTACCCTCCTAAATCTCTCCGGCGAACCTCGCCTTGACGAAAGTGGGTCTCCTTTTCTAGGCTCATCGCCATTGCCTCCATAATCAATATGCTTACGAACATTGCCAGACAATTGCCTCGTCCCTCTAACAAATTATGGCCTCAAATCGATGTCAATGGGCTACCTCCTCCCCCAAACACAGGCCGACAGCACAACAGGCGAACTACCTATGGACACAACACCGATCTCATGGCGCGGACTAATGGTAACAAAAGCCATGCACCAACTCCTCCACTCAGTCTCATGGGGTCCACTGGATGTCTTAATCCTTGACCTACCCCCTGGAACCGGCGATGTGCAACTTACAATCAATCAAGAAGTCATCATCGACGGGGCGGTGATCGTATCGACGCCGCAGGACATTGCCCTCCGCGACGCCGTGCGCGGCATCGGGATGTTCCAGCGAATGGAAGTTCCCGTTCTCGGAATGGTGCGCAACATGGCATATTTCGCGTGTCCACAGTGCGGGACTCAGACTCGCATATTCTCGCATGGCGATAGTCACCACCACGCGCACGGTGAGAACCACGGTGTCGTGGCTGAGTGCAAGCGGCTCGGAGTGGATTTCCTTGGTGACATCCCTCTTGATGCTCAGGTGTGCGAGGATGCTGATCGTGGGATGCCGACTGTTGTTGCGGAGGAGAGTGTTGAGCGCAGTGCGAGACGGGATGCTTTCCTTGGTGTTGCTGAGCAGGTAGCTCGGAAGATTGGTCTTGATTGGCACTGAAGGGTCAATTCGTCTTACCTAGACGTAGGGTTATAAACATTATGTATTATTATATTAGATTTCCATCATCCAGTGGCTGGCTACTGGTTGTTTATATTCTTCGGCATTCGGAGAGGGTCATCTCATTTGAAGTATAGTATGCATTCATTCTTCGGAACTACTTCTATCTACAAATGATGGTCGACTGCCAGATGTCTCGCAGTTGACTGCCAATATGGGGTATATCCAACGCAGCAAAACACAAAAATGACAAAAGGAAATGGGAAGTCACTGTGTGGAGCTTCAACAAAAGAGCCACAAAAAACTGAAGAAAGAGATTGGAAATATCTGAAACGATGGTTCAAAATGACACAGATAGTGGGATATGTTCATAAATGGCAATTCTACAAGCCTTACTCGGCGGTTTTGAACCCCTCTCTGTCCAGAACTTCAGGACGGTGTGACATAGAGTCCCGACCAGCCGCAGAGAACACAGATAGAGTATCTGTAGAACGACGGCCATTCTCGCCAGCTATAATTGGGGCAATCACACCCCGCGCGCTCAGCACAGCTCGGGTGCTAGCGGTATCGGGTGCCATGTTCATATAGGCAACGGAGTCCTTGTCGCCGCCAACAGTACTGGCTGTGTCCGACAGTATCTCGCTTCGGCCAGCGACTGATCCTGCAGCAGATGATGGCCGGTAACGGCTGTGGGCTAAGGAAAGATCGGATTTCATCGGGAGAGAGCCTGCTGCATGAAAAAGAGCCCTTGTGCTGGCGTTCTCATCTGAGAATTTGTTGTTGTTCACCTCGGGCAATATAAGGATTGGGCCAGCGCTTTTCTGCGAGAGGGGTCGGGAGACGGTCTCAGGATCTGTGGACGTACGTCCAGTAGAAGAGTCACCGTTTCTGAGTTGTTCCCTTTTGTCCGGGCTGACTGCCGTGTAGCCGTTAGACTGCGACTTTGTGTCGGTAAGGTCTTTGTCTGAGACTTTGGGGGGTTGGGGATGTGTTGCCGGAGTGCTAGACCATGCTCCAGCCTGCCCAGCATCAGTGCTGACACGGGTGGAACGTCTGCCCGATTCCTCAGCCCGCTTCTCCATTTCCATTCTGCGTTCGTCATGCTTGCTTCCCCAGCCGCTCCACATCATCATGCCGTAGTTCTTCTTGGCATGTCGTTTTGGTAGTACGCCAGGAGCAGCTCGCCGAGCGGCCAAGGAGCTCGGGGGAGGGCATTCACCATCAAAGTCTTGGAAGCCATGCGCCAGCTCTTTCAGACGTCGGCTCTGAATCCGAATTTTCTCCTTCGCAAATTTGATGTCCCATTCCTTTTTTGCGTCCAACCACTTTTGGATGAGCAAGGGGTTGATTGCCCCGACTTGGGCAGGGGGTATCTCTAGCACTGGATATGAAGAGGGAGGATCTAGCGGGAAGACATGTCCTCGTTTATCGATTCGTTGACGTATCATGTATTGATGGAACGCTGGAAGAGGATCCCCGGCCTTTCCGACAGAGGAAGGCCCAGGTGCATCAGGTGGACTGTTCAATGCGGTTTGAGGCCCTGGGACGTCTTCATCTTCTGAGCTACTTGATGAAACGGCTGAAAGAGCACTATCGTCCACAATTTCGACCTCGCCATTCTGTGCTCGCGCCAACGCCCAAGAGCCAAACTGGGAAATGGAACGGAACATGTACTTGGCTGGTCGCGTAAAGCTCAGAGTGGGAGCGACATGGCATAGGTTGTCCCAGACCTGAAGTTGTACATAAGTTGGTTCGTACTTGTTCAAAATCTCCCTGGTGGGATCATGCTCGTCGAGATATGCGTCACTGGGTGGGTATGCTGTTGGGTTGGCTGCTTTGTGGGCGATGTAGAATTGCTCGTCACGAAGAGTCTCGCCGCCGCCGCTCAATATTTGCAGAGGAGGCAAGCCACCCAGGGAGGGTTGGAGAACTGGGGAAACAAGAGGGTGGGACATGAGTTGATTTGTCGTGTACAACTGAATTTGGTCCTTGAGTTCGACTGTCTTCCCATCCAGAACAACGTGGATGTTATCGGGTTCAGCATCTAAGCTAGCAGGGTTGGGGGCTTGCTGCAGGCCAGGGTAGGCGTGTTCGGCTAGAGGGGGGCCATTCTCATGGACAGTATAACCACGGATGGCAGTCTCTTCGGCAGTGCTGTTTGGTTGGGGAATAGCCTTTTTGACTTCCTCGGCAGTCACTACTGGCTGGCGCGACAATCTTTTTATTTCCAGGATATCATCAGCATTAGGAGGAGGCCAAGCAGGTGAGGGTTTGTGACGGAAGCCGTAGGCAGGGATGTAATCACCCGGGTTGTCCTCAACAATACTCGGGAAAGAGTGTGTTAAATCAACCCAGGGTGAGATCAAGATGGCGCCCGCTGGTAAGGGAATACCCTGGTCTCTCATGATGACCAGCATCGATAGAGCCAGGCCTCCACCCGCAGAGTCACCAGCAAGAATGATTTCTTTGGGTTCATAGGAGTTAAGCAGCCAGAGGTAAGCAGCCATGCAGTCATGCAGGCCGCATGGGAAGGGGAACTGCGGTGACAGTCGATACTCCGGCGCAAATACACGTCCCTTCAGTTTGCGGGCATGACGCTGCATCATGTACCGATGGGTGTCGACACTTCCGAAGAAATAGGCCCCACCATGGACATATAGCATCACACGGTTACAATGCCCACCAGCCCCCTCCGTTTGATTATAGTGATTTCGCATCTCAATCCACTCCCCCTTCAGCTCCTCAGACGGCCCCCGCCATTGCCACCATTTCTCTCCTCCTACACGTATGATGCCCTTGGGACCCAGCTGCTTTGTGACAGCATTCGCAGCAGAGGACAGAAATTCGTCGGGGATTGTGATGGTTTCGGTTCTCACCCAATGTGGACTTGGGGCCCATTGGCGGGTGAATGCCTGTAGGTCTTCGACGGGGTGTTTAGATGCATAGAATAAGAATTGACGAACGATCTGGATACCCTCATCGTAGGTAACATGAACGGTGGGCTTGTTATGTAGCGATTTGCGATGCAGGTACTATATAGATCATGCGCTATCAGCCAGACAATCCTAACCCTGTCAGGGTATTCCACCACCACTTACATGACTGATGAGAGTGTGAAGGACAGTGGGGGTCAATACCACCCCTAGTGCAACTGTATGTAATGGCATAATGCTTCTGTTCGGGGGGAAGATGGTAGTAGTATGCCAGCGGTCGCGAAAGCCAAGAGAATTCGAAGGACCAAAACCAATGTGATTTAAATGAAAGACAAAAATGAGGGTCCGATCGCAAAATGGGCCGACGTCATTTAAGGAATGAAAAGGGATTGGAAGAAGAATATCCAAATAAGTTGGCAAGTTGACTTAAAAACAAAAAAGAGAACAAAACGAAGACACAGGGGGGAAGAGATGATGTCATCGGGGAAGTGGATCTGCGCCCTCCAATGTCAACCTTCCGATCTCTTACGGGATTTACCCCATATTCGGGGATCATCTTCATCTTCATGTCCATCCCTTTACAAATTGCGTGTCCTTGGTCTTCCAATCCAACTAACAATCGCAATGTAAACTATTGCAGTAATACCAGCAACAACACTAGTTGCAATCACCGCCCCACGCGGTGCGTTCGCAAGCTTGAACCCAAGCCCAACATTGATGATACCCAAAATCATCATCAATCGTCCAAACCAGCGGTGCATATAAGCAAAGGGTCCTTTCCCACCTGTCTTCCGGAAGAATCGGTGCTGCAACACCCCCATAGCAGGCTGGAAAAGAACAAGGCATGGTACAACAATCATCCCCAGGATGGTATGGTAAGAATCAATCAATTCAATCTGCCGTGCCATAGAAATACCAATTCCAAAGCCTGCAATTACCACGGCCAAAGTGAGGAGTTGAAACGTTCCATGAATGTTCACCGTCCATTTCGATGGGAAAATATGAAGTCCGAGCGCGAAGAAAGGGAACATGACCACAAAAGCCAAAATCATGAGCACGGCATGAGCCGTCTTTTTCCTCCTGACTGTTCTTCGGAAGGCCACAAGTCCCGGATCTTCCTCACTAGAGGAGATGGGCACTCGGGCCATTTGGGCGAAGGGATTCACTGAGTTACCGCCCGTCGCTTTTTTCAGGTCGATGGTCATGGCACCGTGATCGTCATGTTGGCTAATACCTTCGGACAAACTGACCGAATTCAGGGACTCTCCGTATTTGATGGACCAAATCCATGGACTTGAGGAGCTGTTCACGTTTGCTGTTCCCCCATTCCATTTTAGGCAGGTATCGCATCGGACATTGGCAGTGATGACCCCGTCATGCACACCACTGCCATTCAGAATTGTGATTTGGGCGTCCCTGTTATACAACGGTTCAATTTCCCCGGCACCCGACCGCGGAGAAACGGTGATATTGTTGCCAGACGTGTACACGACAAACATATTGGCACCTGCCATTTGCATTCCTTGGCCCAAGGCAAACCACTCTACTTGGCGAGTAGAATTCATCTGGAAGTATATGGGGCCCGAGCCCGACTTAGCAGTATCATCGGGGACATTGAAGCTATAGGTGATCTCATCGTGGCCTTGAGGGTGAATGCTCTGAACTTGAACTTGAGCCAGGGCAGGAATGGCCCAGAGCCAAGAGAAAATATGCCGAACCATTGAAAAAATCGAGATTGACCACTCTGTTTTAACAAGGGAATCATCCCAATAAATACCTCCCATCGCTTTGTTGCACGGTTGACATACCAATTGGCCTACGTCAGGCCAAACCTTTGTGGGCGTGATTTTTGAATTTGCCACAGATATTTCGAATGTCCCGAGGTCTGTCAAAGGGTTGAAAGGTTATCTTACAAGATTCCTATTGGAGTAGCTTAAACCAACTATCTCGCTTTGTGCTTTTGTGTTTCAAGTTACCTCAAGTCAAAGGTAATACGACTTTGCTGCGCCTGTCAAACCCTGATTAGCGTCGGGTCAGCCGCATCAAATATCAAGGCTACTTCAGTTCCCCATTTATTGTTAATGGGGGGAGATATGTGGTCAATCCGCAGTCAGAACTGGAGATATTCCGAAGTCGAAGTCTATACAATTCCGGTGCGTGTAAGCTTTTGGCATATTAACCTTGGAAACCGATGCAGATTATGGGGAATTAAGGTTATGCATAGTGACAAGCTTACTTCTGTATTTATATGAGGTCAAGGATATCTAGGAAGGGAAAAGAGGATAGTTCTATAGGAATATAGGAATTTCTTCGACTCTCAAACTATCGAATACGGACGTCCTGAACCGCAACGAAGGAGTCGTTTTGTTCCATTTGAGATTTATCTGCATTAACGCCGAGTATGGGAACAGTATGACAACTAAAACTACAGATGAAGGCAACTTCGCCGTTGTGTCTCCCCGGAAGAAAAGATGGAGGTTCACTTTGACCCGAGTGATTCAGTATCGCAGGTCTTTCTTTGTAACCCCGGTTATCCTAGTGGCTTTGTCCCAACTACAGGAGAATCAGTAAGCATTACAACAAAGCCTATCAATATCCCACCGAGAACTGTGTGCTATCTCAATAACACAAATCCAATTTGGTACTACTATGGTCAGATTAGCCATTATCAGGCCGGCATGGTTGGTATTATCAATCCGCCGTAAGCAGCGCAGGCTCGGCTTATTCATTTTTTGTCAGCTACAGTGGCTGGGAACCCCTGGACTCTTTCTAGCAGGCTGCAGAAAATGCAGAAAATGCAGAAGGCAACACCATACCTCCAATTGTTCAGGGTTGTCCTGAAAGTCCAAGGACGAATCGCCAAGCAGAACGGTCGGCGAATCGGCGAGCGGAACAAGTAGCTACATATGTATATTCTAAGCCCAATAACTCGACTAATACGATCACCATGGCCATGTGTATTGATGTGGGTAATTTACTTATGTTGGGCTTCTCTTGCACTATCTCCCTGTTTGTGGTGTATTACTGCAACAATTGACAGTCCAGATCACAACAGGAAGGCTTTCGCAATGTCCACGTGTCTATGTGTAATGGCTTACGCCAATTGGTTGTAAATAAGAGATATTCTAACTTACTCAGGCGACTATGCCTTCTTCTAAACCAATGATAGTGGCCATGATGCAAAGTTCGTATTGGTTCTAGCAAAAGTAGCAAACCATCCACATCATGCAAGCATATTCAAGAATAGTAACCAAATCTCATTTTTCCATTGCACTCATTCTGGTGCTGGCATACTTATATTGCCGTGCATAATATTTGATTTCCAGCAGCAAATTGCCCATATATGTGACTTTTGAGGAGGTTATAGTGCGATAGTTGATTGAATAAGTATCTCTAGTCGTATAGATCTAAATTCCCCAGCTAATAATGAGGTAAGAATGACTACCTAGAAGCTTATATGAAACCTAAAACGAGACGTCGACGCTTTCTCTTCCTCGTTCTTCATTAAAGGCTCTCATGTTGACTGTTGATTTTAGACTTCCAAACATGTCGGATTTTTCAGGCACCCCAGACCTCGAGTGTTTCGAGGCATTACGCGACGAAACCTTCGAGGCCATGGGTCCATCGGCTCGCGTTATTCGTACCCTTATCGCATGTCACATCAAAACTATTCAGGTCGTCAAATATCTCCGATTCACAAACGTTCCACCAAGCGTGGCAGAACAGGACTTCTCGAAATCTACGAGGCCGATGTACAATGATGAGACACGTCACTAATTTTAAAGCTCATGGATGGTTCCCATGAAATAGCTAAGGCGACCCTCATTGGAGTACTGGGTATTGTGCTACACGAGATGGGTTTACTGACGTCGATCATTCCGACAGGTTCTGTTACGTGTTAGAGACGAGTCTTGTTCAAAGGAGCCTGACGGGTCATGGGTCTCTCGGCCACGTTTGATAGGACGTGATAATAAGTGGCCAACCATTGTGATAGAAATTGGAGTGTCGAATGCATTTCAAAAGTTAAGGGCAGATGCAGCCTGGTGGCTGGCAAACTCCATGGGCCAGGTCAACCTTGTCCTCATCATGTCAATCAATCAGACTTGCCCAGAAATCACCTTCCAGACGATTGTCCTAGACCCCGAGTCATCAGCCAGGAGCCGCTATATCCCAATGGTGCGGCAGTCAGTCACGACATCGCGCGCAGAGACAACCTCACACTCCCATAATCACCAGCCCCAAAGAACCTTTGATCATCAAGTTTGAGGAGATGTGCTGTCGTCCTCCAACTGCCCCAGACGATGAAATTCAGATCTCGCTTCGTTGGTTGGAAAGGATCTCACGCAACGTTTGGATGGTGCAAAAACTATAGATCTACCGATCCTAGATCGGACTATTTTGCTTTTATATTGTTTTTTGGCTTTACTTTATACATTCAAGGTGTGGCTTAGCTTTCTCGGAGAACGATACGAGTCTTACCACACTGCTTGTCATGATACGCAAATCATCGGGGTCTTGTGACTACGGGTCATAATATCTATAACAAGCTTACTGTGTATGTATTTAGTCAATACTATACTCTCGGCTTGTCGTGAACATATGCCGACATGGGTCGGTCTTACAAAATCAGTTTGGTTTGGCCGATCTCTGCAACAGTCAAAGTCAAAACCTGTGGAATTGCTGATCAACCACAAGGTCCCCTTCCACGCGGTACTCTTCAGAAGTGAGATTCGGGAGATATTCCCACTTTTTCGGGGAAATAAACATAATATGCTCAAATAGATCCAGCGGATATGGTCGATCCCATTCTCGTGCCTTTCTTGGCACCGCGGAAGGTCCCCAGGACCACCGAAGTGTGGGATGCGCTAACGAGTGTGTTAACATAAAAGCTAGAAGCCATGCCAAATATTGAGCTCAAACATAGTCACAATGCTCGGCAAACCATCTCTTGTGGTGGCTACTTTGGTCGCCCAGGCTTTGCCTGGACTCGGAGCGATCATCGAACGAGAAACGGTCAAGGTGACAACCTCCGAGACAGTTCGAGGTGGCGAACTGGCCAATATTCATCTCGACTGGTATGATCAACCGCCAAGTCTGATCAAATCTGTCTATGCACCCTGTGGTGGCGAGGATTCGTCGACAAAGGGGCAAATCATCGGTCAGTTTTCAATCCACGACCATCCTCCACAGCGACTGGCTTGGGTGGTTCCAGATGAGGCTCCAACGCACCATTGCGTTTACATATATGGGTCTACGGGCCCAAATGTGGCTCAACAGGTCTTGGGCAAAAGCGGCCCTATCTCCTTGCAGAAGAAGTCGAAGAAACGATCCACGGCAGACACCAACATCCCATTGCTGAAGGACTTTGATGCACAGGGAGCATGGTTCGACGGAGTGGCCAAAATCAAGGCCAAAGTGGAAAGTAACGGAGGAGTTGCTTCAAAAAATTCACCAAAGAATACCTCAATCGCAATTGTTGGAGGTGGAATCTCCGGCCTTGCAACGGGGTTGATGCTGGACAGCGTCGGTGTGCACAACTGGGAGATTATCGAAGCCAGCGACCGCGTGGGTGGCAGATTCCGGACGAAATATGTTGCAAAAACTCAAGAATGGGCTGAGATGGGACCAATGCGACTTCCGCACTCTGTCACTTACAAAGACGACAATGAGACACTCCTGTATTCTGATCATCAATTGACTTTCCAACTGGCCAAGATATTAAACAATATGAACAAGAATGACTCCCAGTGGAGGATTGACTTCATCCCCTGGATCCAACATAGTCCCAATGAGTTGTATGCTCAAGGGACTGGCCGCCATCCAGATGGAAGAATCCCAACACGCGCTGAGATCGAGGAGGATCCAAGCCTGAAGGATCCCCCAGAAATGACAAGTGCCGAATACAGCAAAACTGAAAACCAGATGAACAAAATCCTGAAAGACGAAAAGACTCTCAAATCTCTTCAGAAGGATGTCTGGAGAGCCCACAAGACCGCGATGGACCAGGGGCTCGATGATTGGAGTGAACAGGCAATGATGCGACATGTCTTCAAAGCTAGCCAGAACATCACTGACGAGATCTGGACATCATCCGACTACGATGTGTTCTGGGATGAGCTGCATCATAACTCCAATCTCGGCCTGGATGGAAGCAAGGATAGTCTAGGCGAAACAGAATGGCTCTGTATTGATGGAGGATTCAACCGCCTGTCCGACGCCTTTCTTCCTCATATCCGTGACAGGCTTACTCTGAATCGAAAGATCCGAAAACTGGAGTCAGTCAAGGGAAGTGATGGTCACACCCGCACTCGGCTGTCATGGTACCCCAATGTCTCGAATCGCACCTTCGAGTCCAAAGAATACGACTATACAATCATGGCAGCGCCATTTACCATGACCCGCTTCATGGATCTACCCAAATTCTCTTCCGTCCTAGACCGCGCGATCAGCGAAGCAGGTTTACGTTTCAAGTCCGCATGCAAAGTGGCCCTACTATTCTCCGAGCGATTCTGGGAAAAGGGCGACCGACCAATTTTCGGCGGCTACTCCAAGCCATCAAGCGACTCAGTCGGTGCACTCTACTATCCAGTCTACGGACTCAATGAGTCCCGTCCAGGCCTAATCATGCACTACCGAGGCGGCGACTGGAGCGACCGGTTTGTGAGTTTCTCTGACGAAGAACACGTCCAGACGGTGCTGGATTCGATTGTCAGTCTTCACGGTGAACAAGCGCGCGACCTTTACACGGGAGACTATGAGCGTCTTTGCTGGCTCCAGGATGAACATACTGCGACCTCTTGGTGTCGGCCGGATGTTGCACAGCATGAACTATACATTCCGGCCTATCATCAGACGGAGCATAACACGATTTTCATTGGAGAACATACTGCACCAACTCAAGCCTGGGTTAGCTCTTCGCTGCATTCTTCTGTTCGTGGGTCGGTTCAGTTGCTGTTGGAGTTGGGTTTGGTGGATGAGGCGAAGGAACTTAACCAGCGGTGGATGGGGAGATGGATCAAACTATGATATCACCGTCACCTACAAATTGGAAATACCCATACATACATACGTAGCTCTATGTATATATTTTGTCTATTTCAATGACTTCAAATCAATTATATAGCTCCCCCTTTACCAGAGGCTTCACAGTGTCTACAGAAAAGGTCACATGTCCAATGCCATTATTCATCTGTAGCTCTTGAATCACACCCCATTTCAACTTCTTATGCGCCAATTATTTATTGAATTGCTACCAATCAGGTAGATCATCATGTTTCTGAGGCTGGCAGGCAACGGCTATACTAACAGTACAGCATCCAATTAAGGGCATACCACTCCGAAACCGCATGGAGATAGAAAATGACAGTAGAAGAGCACAGATCCCATCAACAACTTACATTCCATCTATCATTACGACGGGGAATCCCTAAAGGCAGTCCAAGCGAGAGATGAGGCCCCCATTTGGATCTGTTGAGAAGTCCATCTAGATTGCCACGCAGCGAACCATCACAATGCAGGTTGTTATTGGGATCCCCCAAAGTCACCTATTTAGAGATATGAGATGAAAACGTGAAAATAACCATAAACATGGGCAGGGATTTCTGCTCGGCTCAGGTTCCCTCGTGCGACTTGAATCAGACCCAATCATTCCAGGCTACATCGGTCTTGATACCATGTCAATTAGGGTTGCAATATGGTATAAAATAATAATATTGTGTACTATTTCATTCCCCTGTGGTCATTCAAATACCCTCTCTACCACGACAAAATATCTCCCGTTTGCGACATGAACTTTCCCGACACATTTTCCCTTGTAGCATTATCAATAACCCCAAGCATTCCCTTGACACTATCCTCAACAGTTACTGGTGGGTCATCAGGATACCCCCACTCCTTCGCAGCGAAATCGCCCGCGCGCGTCTGCACCCACCCAGGATGCAGAGCAAACGCAACCAATCCATGTGCCTCATTTTCAACATGAAGAGCCTTAGTGAGCCAGTTGGAGGCCGCTTTACTTGGACCATACGCTCCACCAGGAACAGGCTCCTGATCAGCAATCGAACCGACGGAGGAAGATATGACAACGACCTTGGGTGTAGAAGCCGATCTCTGCAGAAGTGGCCAGAAAGCCTGGAACACGAGAAGTGGAGCGATGGTGTTGACTTCGAAAGAGTTACGGAGGTCTTCCGCCGAAGTGACTAGAGCGGGAGTCAGGGGTGCCGCGAATCCAGCATTGCAGATAAGCACATCGATGTGCGTCACTGTACTGACAGTTGCGGCGAAGGTCTGTGCAATCTTTTCGGGGGGTATCGCAGTTGAAAAGTCCAGTTCGATGATGTGGAGGACACTATTTTTGCCAACTGCAAAATCTTCAGCGTCCGATCTAAGGCTTGTGGCGGCATCGTGGCTGCGCACCGAAGCCACGACGGTAGTGGCAGGACGTTCTAGCAGGCGTTTGGTCAGTCCAAGACCGAGGCCTCTGTTTGCACCTGTCACGACGTATACTGTGTTTGCAGCAGATGTCATTATGAGTGATTTTTATATGTAACTCTTTTAGTTCAAGAAGGAAGAGAGGAGAGAAAGAAAAGAAAGCAATGCGCCCCCTCCTTTTATACCAGGTTAGTTAGGGCTTATGTGAAGCGGGCCAATCAAAGCAGAACTCACCATCACGCCAACAGTTGTTAGCGTTTTCATATTTAATTCAAGCTGAGCATACTACTACTTATATATTCAATCAATCGGGATGGCTATTAAGCCCTATGTTAATATACAGCCAAGGTAAGCCTTCAATAAACGCCAAGATCTCCCAAGGTTCTCCAAATTCTCCCTTGAGATCCACCGAGAAATTCCGAAACCCATTGCCAAGAGAAGTTGGAGAAGACATCTTATCTAGCGTAATATATTAACTGAAGAAAAGCCAATTAATGCAAGCTATTTCCGTTATGTCTCTATTTGGGGTTCTTGGGGCTAATAAGACCCATGACTCCAATGCCCTCGGAGGGTCCCCAGCTGGACATGCGTGAAAGCATCGGAGTGTGAGTTAGGCTGGCATATTTAAAGCTCCTGTCTGCTTTCGCCATATCTCCGCAAGAAAGCACATCATGACTCCTAATGGTCTTGGTTCCTGTCTTTGGCGGGTCTCTACCTCTCTTCTTCTCCTTTTGGCAGCCGCGACTATCTCTGCTACTTCAAGTGTTGATAATGGCAAACTCTTTACAGTCAATGGTATCAACTACTATAGTGGTGATGCGGTCTCGAGAGTAGTTACCTCGGATTTTGATTTGACTCGATTCGATGCAATCGTTCCCCTAACGGTCATTCGGACAGATCAAGCTCTGCTCACCACGGACATTGTAAAAGAAACTATTTCAA